ATGCATTCATATATATATTTATATTCTTTATTTATATTTATATATATTAATTATTTACACGTCTTTTATACAAAAGTTTTCACGACTTTATACATAACTATGTATAAGAACGTCACTCTCTCGCGCCCTGACGTACCTACACACGCGTTCGTTTATTGGTATAATACATTTTTGAATTTCGTGAGCAACCGTATCGTCATGCGAGCACCTCGAAAGGGATCCAGGTGAGATGAGAATACCATGAAAATATATCGACAGGAATTCGTTTTACCTTCGTGTTTCAATTTTTGGATGGAATAGTGAAAATCATTAAAAAAATCGAAGTCCTTTTACTAATTTTTTAAATAAATATTAAAATCAACATAAAATATATTAAGCTCTTCTCCATGCAGAAATATAAAACACTATATTACAATATAATATAATACAATACAAATAATATAAAGTATAAATAAAAAATTTCGTCAACTTTTTTACAATTTTAATAATTTCTTTGGAATCAACAACATAAAATTTTATATTTTATCTTTAGATAGAGAAGTATAAACTACTTTTTAATAAAATAATTATATTGTTAGGTACTTCTATATATTCTTTTTACGTTTCTGAAATATGAAAGAAATCATTTATAACATTATTCCATCCAACAACTGACTTATTTAATCGTCGATTCTTTCTGTACTCTAATAATTACTATCACTTTCTGAAGCTACTAAATAAACGATGATGAAAAAGGCGAACATAGAGTGTAGAAATTATCGTATAGTATCATTCCTAGCATTTAAGTACTCAACGTATGATAGTGATCGTCCATAAGCATTTCCAAAAGTCGATGCTTCCTTTCTTCATATATAATAAGCCCCTTATTTTTAGAATAATATATAGTTTGTAATTAATAAATGTAATTTAATCAAAATTTTTTCAAATTTTTTTAATTAAAGAAAAGTACAGAACTATTTAATTACGTATAACCAATAAAGTCTGATATTTGAGAAAAAAAGAACAACACACTCGCGACATGTATTTATTTTACGAAATTTGGAATTCAAATCAACAAGTAATTCAGTATCATCAATTGGATCCCGTTCGAGGAAACTTAATCGCAGAATTTTCTTTAAGGAACGACCGCTGCTTAAACATATTAGAAATATCCCATATACCCCTAAAAAAGTGCTCCACTAAGTAACTAGCTCGACATTGCCACATTTACTATAACGTAGTATTCAAATATCTCATCTTAATATCATTAAACAACTCTATACAACGCGCCGAGTCCGTTGTGCTATTGTTGTGTATACAATATATTGTACAATTATTTATAAGATAGAAAAAGCACCGTTTCGAAAAATCGGGTTTCAATTTTGACATACGTATTATCACATTATTTTGCGCGCGCGCGATCTCGTTCTTTCTTTCTCTCTCATACATTCTTGTGCTCACTTCCTTTTTCGCTTTTAATTTTCCCATATACATAAAACACACACATACATACACACACACGCGTACACATTGAAATAAACACGCGCATATATTTCGCAACGCAGTCCTCGTTTCACGCATATTTAGTTCACAATTATTCTATCTTTATCCATCGGAGACGCAGCGACGAGCAATATCGAATATTCTTCGTGTTTCAATCAAAAATATAATTCGATATATCTCGTATCTTAATATTGACCCGTTACATCCCAAATTGAGATGTTCCTGAAGTAAAACATCCAAAATCCTTTCTTTATTTCCTACTTATTGTTAATTTTGTTGATAGAATAAGATTCACAAGATATCTTTGAAGAATAAAAAAATGTTTGATACTTTATATTAATTTTGCTTTAAAAATTCGCAGACTATAATGGATTTATTCATCAAAATATATAAAAAGAGACTGTTAGAAATTATATTAATATAAAAATAACTAATAAAATATATAATTTAATTAATAAAATAAATAATAAAGAATCCAAAATAAAAGCAGAGAGCGTATTTGCAATTTTTTATAATTTGTATTAAGATTTTATCCCAGTTGTTATTCGTAAACATCGTTACATTTCCATTGTATACTTCCAATATACATTTGCATTTAATAATGTATTATTATACATGCCGGGATGTAACGAATCGTAAATTGTTGCTTTTTTATATTATATAATTAAACAATCATCAAGATTATCTCGTCGAGATTCCTAGTCATACTGACAATCAGATATTAAATAACATAAAATGCCATTCAATAACATAAAGTGTCATTGCGAGAAATAACAAAAAAATTTGGCGCATTTCATTCACAATCGAAAGTTTACAAATTTGCTTTATTTAAGCTTCTCACAAGAGAATCTCACAAACTAAGAAATTCTAATTTTGACAAATCTTTGCAATATTTAGAATAAATATTTAATTTGCAAATTTTGAATTAATGCCGGTTTATGATCAAATCTTTTCGTAGAGTAAGTTTTTCTTTTTTTTTTTTTGTAATCTTCAAAATTATTTAAGATATAAAATATGATTCATAAGTTTTTTATAATATAAAAGCATTTCTATTTAACTGTACCATAATATTAAAATATAATAATATTAAAAAGGTATTCATTTATAAAAGCTTATTCGCCGCTTCTCATATTATGAAAAATAACTATTGTGGGAAACATGTAGATAGCGACATGTAGTGCTGCGATATCGGATGGCGCTGGCGCGCGTAGTAATCGTGGTATAAGGGATAATATGGTGTGCTCATTTTGCAAGCGTCTCTCTTTAAATCCCCGCCGTCTCTGACTATGAATGTCGCATAAGAGGAAAAAGCTGCCAACTGTGAAATGCAAAATATGAAAAACGCGAAACATGAAACGCGAAAAAGAAAAAAGAGCTGATTGTGTCACTGCATCCACGACGAAAACTTCTGGAAGGCATTGAGATTAGATTGGCGAAACGAAGGTGAAAGCTTTTTCCAAAGTAAAAACGACTAAAACTATTAAGACAATGGAGAGGTTTGAACAAATAAAGATAATAGCCAATAATTTTAAGACAGGTTTCATGAAGGCTGTAAAAGGCGCTACACAGATTAATTTTCAAATGGGAAGGAAACCGCGCTAATCGTAAACGCCTTCGCGAATTTGACGGTTTTGCATTTGCTAGTGGATCGGAAGAATACAAGAATAAGCTAACGTACGCGGATCTTGGATGGAGAGATTTAGTGTCAATCTGTAACATTTTGGCGGTCGACTATGCAGGCACAAAGAAAGAGCTAGGTCAACGAATCTGCGACTATTTGATGGGCTTTAACTCGCTTGACAATGCGAAGGACGAGAGGAGAGACACCAAAGAAGACGCTATGGAGGATGATGACGATAATGACGATAACGATGACGGTGTTCTTAACGAAGAAGAAGCAAATAATGAAGATGAAGACGATAAGCAGCCAAGTAGGACTACAAATATTATATAACGATGAGAAATGAATTTGGCAAAGTGAGTCACAAATTAACAACGTGCGATAACAAAAGCAAAGGTACCAAATGCTTTAGGTGCCACGAATTCAGGCATAAATTGCTCGATTGTAAGAAAAAAAAAATCAAAGAAGTCGAAGGAGGATGCCGAAGAGGACACGAAGAAGGTCGAATCTATACGAAGTTCGTATGGTTATATCCTACTAAAACAGTAAGTCTAAGGAAGCTATTGAGAAGCTCGAGCTACAGAAGAGCGTTTTCGATAACTCAACTCGAATTATTTCTGACAGAAGCACCGTCTTCACTTCTGTTGAATTTGAGAACCACTGCTACCAGAAAGACATTGAACACATCAAAGTTACGATGGATTT